AAACCTTCATCCTCTGCCTGTTCCCCAAGGAGCCCCTTATGAACAGGGTGAGCCAGGGAGGGAGTGCTCTGGGAGAGCTCAGAGATGCAGAGGGGCTGGGCCTGGGGAGGGCTTCCTGGGGTGGACCCTTGAATGAATGAAAGGCCACCAGCCACGGGAATGGAGGGCATGGGGCTGTGAGGAAGAAGGCCCAGCATGGCCAAGCAAGTGGCTTGTGTGGGAAGCAGCAGGGCAGGCCCTACAACCAGAATGTGTGTGCGTGAGCGTGTGTGTGTGTTTGGTACTGAGGATGGAATCCAGGATGTGCCACTGCTAGGCACGTGTTCAACCACTGAACTGCATCCCAACCCTATTTTTTAATTTAAAAATTTTTATTATTTATGATTTATTTCTGCAGCACTGGGCATTTGCATTAAGCTTTGCACTAAGCGTCTTTGCACTAAACCACATCCCCAGCTAAATTTTTATTTTGGAACTAGATGTGGTGGTGCACGCCTGTAATCCTAGCACTCAGGAAGCTGAGCCAGGAGGATCACCATGAGTTCTGAAGCCAGCCTAAGCTATATAGTGAGTTCAAGGCCAGCTGAAACAGCAAGATCCTGTAAACAAACAAATAAATTGTAAAGAAACGGAAGTTTTTACTCTGAGACAGGGTCTTCCTCATTCAACTAAGTTGCAAGACTGGCCTCAAACTTGCAATCCTTCTGCCTCAGCCTCCTGAGTAGCTGGGAGTACAAATGCATGCACCACAAGTGGCCTGAAAGTACATTTTGTTGTTGGTGTTGGTAGGTTTTAATTTTTAAATTTTATTTTATTTATTTCTTTATTTTTTGGGATGACAGCTTGTGTGAAAGTGCATATTGAAGAGAATGCTGCTGCTGGGTGTGGTGGCGCACGCCTGTAATCCCAGCACTTGGGAGGCTGAGGCAGGAGGATTGTTGTGAGTTCGAGACCAGCCTGGGCTACAAAGTGAGCTCAAGTCCAGCTTGAGCTGCATAATGAGACCCTGTCTCAAAAAGACAAAAAAAAAAACAACCCCAAAAACAAAAAACCAGAATGCTGCTGAGGGAGGAAGCCCGAGTCCCTCCATCACAAGCAGAGGAAAGAGTCTGGGGAATGGCCATGGAGTCTGACAGAGAGGACAGGGCCCTAAGGGGGCTGGACAGGGTCTGAAAGCCGGGCTGGCAGGCTGTGGGGACTTGGATTTCCTCCTGGCTGATGGCATAAGAAGGGACTGGCGCAGTGCCTGACTCAGCACAGATGAGTGAATCAGAGTATGTCCCTCTTATGCAACTTTTTTGTCTTTTACTCTGTCCAACCTTTGCCCCTCTTCCCTACCCCACCCTTTCGGCCTGGAGTCACTCAAACCTCAGCTTTGCCGGTTCAAGTCTCAGCTCTTGCCGGGGTGGTGATGCACAGCTGTAATCCAGCATTTGGGAGACTGAGGCGGGAGGATTGTCATGAGTTTGAGATCAGCCCAGGCTGCATAGTGAGTCCAAGACCAGCCTGAACTATATAGCGAGACACTGTCTCAAAAGACAAAAACAAACAAAACTTCAGCTCTTGAGTCAGGGATGTGGCTCAGTGATAGAGTATTTGTCTGGCAAGGCTGAGGCCCTGGCTTCAATGCCCAGCAAAACACACACACACACACACACACACACACACACACACACACACACACACACAGGGGAATGAAGCAACTGGGCATGGCGTCCTTTAACTGTAATCCTAACACTCAAGAGGCTGAGGCAGGAAATTGCAAGTATTGCAAGACCTTTTCCCAACAAACAGGAAAGAAGGAATTGATCCCTGCCACGATGTGGGTGAATCTCACAAGGCACATCTGGTACCATTCCACTTATGGGAAATGTCTAGCTCAAGCAAATCCATAGACACAGAAAACAGATTAGTGGTTGCCAGCAGCTGGGGAAAAAGGTAAATGAGGGATGACTGCCCCTGGGGACTAGGTCTCTTTTGGGAGAATGGAAATGTCTTAGGGCTGAATAGAGCTCATGATTGCACAGCACTGCGCAGGCGCTCAGTGCCACTGAATTGGGCACTTTATTCTTTTTTTTTTTTTGTCTTTTTGAGACAGGGTCTCGCTATGCAGTTCAGGTTGGCCTTGAGTTCCCTTTAGGGCCCAGGCTGGTCTTGAACTCACAATGATCCTCCTGCCTCAGCCTCCTGAGTGCTAGGATCACAGGCATGTGCCACCATGCCCAGCAGAATTGTACACTTTAAAATGGTAAATGAAGCAAGTGGGGTAGTATATGGCTCAAATCCCAGTACTCTGAGGGTCTGAGGCAGGAGGATTGCAAGTTTGAACTCAGCCCTGGCAAGTTAATGACTAAGACTGTCTCAAAAGATAAAAAGCGCTAGGAAAAAAAAAAAAAAAAGTGCTAGGAATGTAGTTTAGTAGTAAAACACTCCTGGGTTTAATCTGAAGTACAAAAATAAAGTTTAACGGGCACCACGGTGTCCACACAGTCTCAGTGTGTCTCCCTACAGGATAACCATTCATTATAAAAGAGGAGAATAAACTGAATGCCACTGTCACACACACCTGTAATCCTAGCACCCAGGAGGCTGAGGCAGGAGGATCATGAGTTGGAGACCAGCCTGGCTAGTTATATAGGGAAACCCTATCTCTAAAAAGGGGTGGGGGCTGGGGCTCTATCTCAAAGATGTTCAACCTGAACTTAGTCACAAATAACTGGCTAACATCCTTGGAAAGAACTGACCTCACCGCTCCAAAAATGTTCAAGTCCTGAAAGAAAGAGGAACTAATTCAGGTTAGAGGAGACCAGGAGATGTGATAATTAGATATAGTGTGTGATCTGAGGGCCAATTTTGGATCAGCAAAGAAACCAGCACACTCAATATGGACTGTGGGGGGTAACTAGGGTACATTTGTGCAGGAGAATGTCTGGATCTCAGAAGACATGCAGAGAAGTACTTGAGAGCAAAGGAACATCATGCTTGCCCTCAGACAAGCCAGGCAGGTGTGGTGGCACACACCAGTCATCCCAGCACTCAGGAGGCTGAGGCAGAAGAATCACCACAAATTAAAAGCCAGCTTGGGCTACATAGTTCAAGGCCCTGCCTCAGAACAAAACAATTGAGCCAAAAAAGGGTATCTATCTATCTATCTATCTATAGAGAGAGGGAGGGAGAGACGGAGGCAGAGAGAGAGACACACAGAGAGAATTATAAGACAAACTGGGCATGGTGGTGCATGCCTATAATCCTAGCACTGTGAGGTAGGAGGATCCAAAGAGTGACTTAGTGAGGCCCTATCTCAAAAAAGAAAAGAAAAGAAATCATGTGACAAGTGAGGCAAAATGTTGTTGGCTGGTGAATCTGGACGAAGGGTTTATGGAAATCATTTATTTTATTCTGCAACTTTCTGTTTATAGTAATTTCAAGAGAAGCTGAACAATCGCCCCAAGTGTCTGGTGCACGGGTGACATCCTCCCTCCCAGGCTCCGCCTCAGCATCTGGCTGCCTGGGGAGGTTCATCTTCAGGCTCCTTACGTTCAGCCTCATCACCAACCTGTTTACCAGGGGCAGCTTGGCCACTCTGCCTCTCCTGCCTCCGGCCTGCCCAATCTGCTCCCCACTGTCTCCTCCCATGGGCCCAGCCTGGCCCCTCAGCTCCAGCCAATCCACTCATTTATTTATCTACCTATTTATCTGAGACAGAGTCTCACTGTGCGGTTCAGGCTGGCCTCAAACTCACTGTATAGCCCAGGCTGGCCTCGAACTCTCAGTGTTCCTCCTGCCTCAGCCTCCTGAGTGCTGGGAGGACAGGTGTGTGCCTAACTCCAGCTTATCCTTTAGAGTCAGACAGCCTGGATTCTCCTCAGAGAAGCTCGCCCCAGGGATCCGGGTGTATCTTCTTCAGGTCAGGGTTGGGCTTACCCCTACTTGTTAAACACAGGAATGAACACACCGAGAACTTTCCCCACGGGCATCCCTCCCCAGCTTCTTCCCAGATTCTCTGGCTCCTCTGACCCAGCTCTAAGCCCTCAGTACCATGGGTGTCAGCTTCGCCCCCACCCGTCCCCCTAGGGCGGGCTTGGGACCTCTTAGGGGTCTCATTCTCACTGTTGAGACAGTGAGGGCTGTGCGAGCCTGGTCCCTAACAGAGTAAAAGACTATTTTATATACCCTATTCCCCAACCGCGGGCCTTTGCAGGAAGAAGGTGCAGGAAAAGCAGTTGATTAGAAGGAGTAAGCGGGGGCTAAATGGTCAAGCTTGCAGGGACTCAGGGCGCGGGCTGCAGCGGACCTCCGAGATTCACACGGGAGTGAGGAGAAGCTGGCTGCTGTCCAGGAGTGCTAAGAGCAGGGAGGGATGCGCACAAGCACACTCGAGCTTTGTGCTTCTGCAGGTCTGCGGCTGCTCACAGCTTGGCTAGGCCCGAGTTTCAGGTTTGTGAGTGTCTCCGATTTTAGGGTCTCCACAGAGCGCTCACTCCATCTCTTTTGGAGCAGGGGTTTAGAGACAGAGTCTCGAGAGTAGTTCAGGCTGGCCTTGAACTCACTATGTAGCCCAAGTTGGCCTCAACCCGCGGCAATTCTCCTGCCTCAGCCTTCCCAATGCTAGGATGACAGGCGTGTGCCACCACGACCGGCGTCCACGAAACCCTCGCATTTGGGCCCTGGTGTGGTGTGCGCTCAGAACCTCAGTAACTCAGACTGGAGGGTTGCTGGGGCTCTGCGCTGGAGTCCCCGCCTGTATGGTCCCGGGCTGCTCCCGAGCTGGGCCCGCCTTGCCCAGGTTGGGCCAGCAGCTCGCTGGCTCCGCAAGTGGAGGGTGGGCAGGGACCCCGGGAAGCAGCGCGCGGGCGGGGCGGGGCGGGGCGGGGCGAACGGCCGGGC